GCTGCATTACAAACCACACTAGAACTTCGCGGCTTCAAACAAAAATATGGATGATCTTACATTATTTCTGTGGGTCAGAAATCCAGGAATGACTTATTAGGATGGTTCTGGCTTGGAATATCTCATGAGACTGCAGTCAACATGTCAACCAGGGCTGAAGGATCCACTTGTGAGTAGGCTCCCTCATGCGCCTGGCGAGTTAGTGCTGGCTGACAGAAGTTTTTCACCACCTGGACCTCTCCATAGGATTCTTGAGTGTTGTCGCTCATGGCGGGTGTCTACCCCCAGCAACTGATTCAAGAGAGAGGTTGCTGTAACCTCTGAAGTCTCACACCATCATTTCCACAGTATGCTGCTGGTTACACAGGCCAGCCCTGTTCAATGTGGAAGGCACTGCATAAGTGCATGGACACTAGGAGGCTGGGGAATGGGGCAGGGGCGTCATTTTGAAGATTGGCTACCATACATAGAAATAAAAAATATTCCTCCATTCCTCACATGTCAAGTTCAAAATTGAAAAGTAGACAGAAATAATGCTAAAGAGTTTGGACCTGAGCTGTATCAGAGGGAACTTTGTTTGCTGATCAATATTGGTTTACTCTGGGAGGTCAGTGGGCCTCAGCCTTCAGTGTGCATCAGAATCACCTGGAGCTTGTTAAAACAGGATGTAGAAACCTCCTCCTCAGACTTTCTGATTCAATAGGTCTGGGGCAAAAATCATTTGCATTTCTCACAGGTTCCCAGGCAACTCGTGAGTACCATGCTAATACTCCTGGTCCAGGCACTACGATTTGAGAACCACTATGGTGGGTGGGACAGATATTAAGCAAGACAGTGAGATGATCATATTTCAATTTTATAAAACTCTTCCTGGCGATTGTGTGAAGAATAGATCTGTGTAGGCACCATTATGAGGCTATTATTGCAGTAGTATATATAAGATGTAATTGAAACTTGAATGAGGACAAAGAAAGTATGTCAGGCAGGAGAGGACAGGTAAGAGAAATATCATTAACATGCCAGGATTTGATGACTTGTTGAATTTAATGGGGGTAGAGGGGGAGAGTAAAGGGAGAGTAATGAGAGGAAGAAAGGCGTTAGTGCAATGCCCACATTTCAGTATGGATAACTGGGTGAATGACATTAGCATCAGTTGGGAAAAGTAGATTACAGGAGGGGCAGCTGGTTGGTAGGCATGGGTCTGTTGAGTTCGGTGTGAATATGATGGCCAGCAAGTAGTCTGCTATGTGAGACTGAAACCTGGAGGAGGTACTTTGGGTCAAGGTAGAGATTTGAGAAACCTTAACAAATAGGTAGTGACGTGGGGAATTGATGAGTTCACCCAGAAGAGAGAAGAGCAGGGAGTGAGGACTGAGTGGTGGAGCTGCTTCCCACCCTTTGCTGTGCATGAACATTACCTGGGGATTCTGTTAAAATGCAGATATGGACTCAGCAGGTCTGGGATGGGCCTGAGATACCACATCCCTAACAAGCTCCTCGTGATGCCAGAGCCACTGGTCTGAGCAGCACTGTTGTGGTAACAAGGTGTAGAGAACCCCAGCACTAGGGGGCAGTGTGGTGCAGAGAACAGGGAGAAGGCGCTAGAGGATGCAAATAAAGTCAGAACTATAAGGACAATTCGAAGAGTCTGTTATTACAGAAACCAAGAGAATAGATATTCTGGAAATTGATGGGTTGATTAGCATTATATGCTGGACACGTTAGTGGCACAATTAGAACCCGGGTTATAGTAGGTTAAGGGCTAAATGGGAAGTGACTACTTCTAGTGAGCAGAGACTCCTGTTGTAAGAAGTTTGGATGAGGTGAAAATAAACTAGATGGAAATACAGGATGGATGTGGGGGTCAAGGGATGGCTTCATTTTTTTATTTTTTATTTTTAAGACAGTCTTGCTCTGTTGCCCAGGCTGGAGTACAGTGGCACGATCTTAGATGCCTGCAGTCTTTACCTCCTGGGTTCAAGTGATCCTCCTACCTCAGCGTCCCATGTATCTGGAATCACAGGTACATGCCACTACACCCAGCTAATGTTTTTGTGTGTGTTTTTTTGTAGAGACGGGGTTTTGCTATGTTGCCTAGGCTGGTCTTGAACTCCTGGGCTCAACGATCCACCAGCCTTGGCCTTCAAAAGTGCTGGGATTACAGACATGAGGCATCATGCCTGGCCAGTTTTTTTAATCATTAGAGAAACCTGAGTGTGGTCACAGGCTGAAGGGATATTGCCAGTAAAGAGGGAACCTGCACAAGGATGCCCAAGATTAAGCCCAGCTTCAGAGAAGAAAGAAGGAATTAAGATGGGTGAAGGGAATGGTTTTGATCAGGAGAAACAGAGAAACTTTCTCTCTTGGCTGTGGGTGCTAGCACACTGGAACTGGAAGACTGCAGTGACAGTGCTGTCCACACAGTTGGTGTCTCCCAGTCCAAAGTTTAGCCCCAGAGAGACAGGGACTTCCCTTTCAGTCAGTGTGCAAGGGCGATCAGGCCCTCGGAACTGGCTTAAATTAATTATGTCCACTTAAAGTCTTAGGATCTATAAATTTGGAAAGGAAAACTTTATTTCTTATGATTGGTTGCAACCTCCAGGCCGGGAAGTGGAGCCTCTGGCTGAGGTCAAAGCCTGCCCTCTAGGCTGGGTACGGTGGCTCATGCCTGTAGTCCCAGCACTTTGGGAGGCCAACGCACGTAGATTGCATGAGCCCACGAATTTGTTCAGCACGGGCAACATGGTGAGACCTTGTCTCTACCAAAACAACCCACAAAAATTAGCTTGGAGTGATGGTGTGTGTCTGTAGTCCCAGCTACTCAGGAGAATCAGTTGAGCTCAGGAGGTCGAGGCTGCAGTGAACCATGATGGTGCCACTGCACTCCAGTCTGGGTGACAGAGCGAGACCTCATCTCGAAAAAAAAAAAAAGCTGGAACTTTGAGGGAGGAAGGGTAGACAGGAGTTTTATGCTAAATGGGTTGGCTGAACATACATATTTAAAAGGTTATAGGAGTTAGGAATATTAATGAAAGGGGGGGTCACACATGAGTGTGATAAGCAAACATATATGTTACATACATCCCATGTTTGACTTTGCTGTGGAGATGTATCATTAAAATGCAGTAATATTAGACTCCATATGTCAAAAGGAAATGTAGGACATGAAGGTGCTTTGTGCACAGTCTGTGTAAACTGGCCAGAACCATTCCATGGTGGACAGTCATTCCTTCAATGGAAGGGGTGCTTTGGTCAGCTGTCATGTCAAAATCTTGAAAAGGGAGGGGGTTCTGGCTGAGACATCAAGCAACTGGTTGAAGTTGATGTCAGTGGAGAAGTTTTCTGTTCTTTGCTTTCCAGGGCTGGTTTCTGTTTAACTCTTAAGTCTAGTAGTGGTTAGTGAGGAAGAGGGTGTACTGAGGCATGACCAACCTCCTACCTTGTCTTGACCAGGAAACATTATTTATTTATTTATTTTTTTTGAGATGGAGTCTCACTCTGTCACCCAGGCGGGAGTGTAGTGTCATGCTCTCAGCTCACTGCAACCTCCACCTCCTGGGTTCAAGCAATTCTCCCTGCCTCAGCCTCCCTAGTAGCTGGAATTACAGGCACCTGCCACCATGCCCAGCTAATTTTTGTATATTTAGTAGAGAAGGGGTTTCACCATGTTGGCCAGGCTGGTCTCAAACTCCTGACCTCAGGTGATCCACCTGCCTTGGCCTCCCAAAGTGCTGGGGTTACAGGCGTGAACGACCACGCCTGGCCAGGAAAGTTTTTAAAGTTTTTCTGGGGTCTCCTTGGCCAAGGGAGATAGATTTGTTCAGTCCACTGGGGAAGTGGGGGCTTGGGAATTTATTTTTATTCCATGATTCTTATCTACAGTAAAGTTTGAGGAACACTAGTTTAACTAATAAATCATAAATGTGCTGCTGAAAAGTTTCCTCCAAAAAAAGTGATCTGGGCAAAGCACATTTGCTATATGTTCAAGCATGTTAATAGCGAGGCATAAACAATGGTACTAACGTCCAAAGGGAAACACATTTTTAGGAGGAGGATGACATGTTTTCAGTGCAGCTTCCCGGACTGCCCTCTGTGAGGGCTTTAAGGAGGCTGGGGCTGCTGCTGGGGGGATGTGGGGAGTACCCCGTGCTACCCCTTCCTCCAAGGCCTCTCCATCTGGCCTACCTCTCACATACAGTGGCCTGGCCTTCCTTCCTTCACAGTAGCTCAGGAATCCAAAATGGAGGAAGCTGAAGCTGCCAGGCCTTCTTAAAGCCTGGGCTAAAAAGCAGAAGCTTTTGCTCACAGGCCCAGTTCGGATTCAAGGGGAGGAGACATAAGCTCCACGTGTTTATCCACCAAAAGTGACTATCTCCCTGTGGTGGTTGATACTGAGTGTCAACTTGATTGGATTGAAGGATGCAAAGTATTGGTCCTGGGTGTGTCTCTGAGGGGGTTGCCAAAGGAGATTAACATTTGAGTCAGTGGGCTGGGGAAGGCAGACCCACCCTTAATCTGGTGTGCACCATCTAACCCGCTGCCAGTGAATATAAAGCAGGCAGAAAAATGTGAAAAGAAGAGACTGGCCTAGCCTCCTAGCTTACATCTTTCTCCTGTGCTGGATGCTTCCTGTTCTCGAACATTGGACTCCAAGTTCCTCAGTTTTGAGACTCGGACTGGCTTCCTTGCTCCTCAAGCTTGCAGACAGCCTATTGTGGGACCTTGTGATCATGTGAGTTAATACTTAATACACTCCTTTATCTATCTATACTATTCTGTCCCTCTAGAGAACCCTGACTAATATATCCCCACCCCCATAGAAAGACTGGAATACTTGTCCTCAGCCTAGACTCCCTTTCTTTTTACTGACTGCAAATTGATGAAATTCTATACCTGCTCCCTCCACACCCCACTCCACCCCCAATTTTTACATGTGACATCTGATATCAAACCAGGTTCATTTGGCTCATGGAAAGCAAACCAATCATTGTGACTGTGGGTTTTGCAAAAGAGAAAAGATTTTATTTTGTGAGATTGCTCACAAGGCTGCTGAGCAAGGAGAAGGAGAACAAATTGTAAATCCACCTCCCTGAAAACAGGGCTTGGGGTAATTATGGGGATAGAAAGCAGGATGGTGTGAAGTATGGGTAAAGGTGATTGGCAGGTGGGAAAGGGAGGTAATCAAGGTTTCTGCGCAAGTGTAATTGAGCTACATGGCTCTTCGTAGGATGCATGTTCAGAAAATGGTTGAATTAGCATGGAAGGAGGGTGCAGGTTTTGGCCCTTTGACATCAAAAGGTCACGCTTTACGCACCCACGCAGGCTAGGTTGAAGGGTTGATGGTCTCAACTTGCTTGAACTCAACAAGAACTGCCTGCTAGCTGCAAAACAACATTAAGCACTCATTACTATGGTGACCCACTGTCAGAGCCATTATCTATAAGGAGGCTAGTGGAAGTTTAGTTATGTATTGTTTGACTACTATGACTTGCTAGTGGGAATTTTAAGATTAACTAGACGTAAGCAATTAAAAGCAAGCAAGGCAGGTTAAACTAGGCAGGCTTAATCAGGTTAGCCCTCAGTTTCCCATCTTGCTTAATACATGCTAAAGTAGACAGAATATGAGCTATGTCTTAACCCCTTGTTTGGAATGCATTTTCAGCAGCACATTTATATTTAATGGTTTATACCAGTGATTCTCAAATGCAAGAAGCTTAGAATTACTCCAGGGAGGCTGGGCATGGTGGTTCACACCAGGTGGATCACTTGAGGCCAGGAGTTCGAGACCAGCCTGGCCAACATGGCAAAACCCCGTTTCTGCTAAAAAATATGAAAAAAATTAGCCGGGTCTGGTGGTGTATGCCTGTAGTTCCAGCTACTCAGAAGGCTGAGGAGGGAGGACTGCTTTGACCTGGGAGGTGGAGGTTGCAGTAAGCCAAGATTGCGCCACTGCACTCCAGCCTGCGCAACAAGCGAGACTCTCTCTAAAAAAATAAAATAAAATAAAATAAAAAAGAATTACTCCGGGAAGTTCTTTCCCCAATGCATATTTCAAGGTTCTAGCACTCAGGAATTTTGGTCTCCCCAATCTGAGGTGGAGCCCAGGAGTGGGCATTTAAACAAATTCCCTAGGTAGGCAATTCTAATGCAGGTGGGTCTACTTGGATGATGCACATAGAAAGCTTGTTTTAGAATATTATTGTTTTAAGGCTCACCAACATGATCATTTTGATTTCATGACTTTATTCTCAGATGTCATTTTATTTCCTACTTCTTGAACTGTTAAAGAGATGAATGTTAAAGTGGTAAGGACAGATTTTAATCAGTAATATACTATTGCAATAGGGAAGAGTGTCCAGCATAAACTCAACTCAACTTGGGAGGTGGCTGGGGGGGCTGCTGGAGCTTGAGCAGAGTCAGAGAAGTGAAAAATTAGAAAGGTTCGTCAGTGTAAATGCCCATTAAGTCAACTGCAAATGTTAGCTGGCAATTAATCAAAGTTAGGGTTGTATTCTCCCAGAGACTAGAGACAGAGGTCCTGTCATTCCTGACGATTACATTTCAAAGGAATGGCTTTCACTCCTTAGTTGTTGGAGAAAGATGTACATCTCAAAGGGACAGAGGAAGGATTCAAAATTGTAAATCGTGCATTGAGTAAAATTTAGTAAATGCTCTAAGAAAGGGTGGTCAGGGGCCTGTGGTCAGGTGTTGGCTTGAACAAACAGTAAATTCTTTTAGTAGCCTTGCACTTTCTCAGTCAGGCCCTTTGAGGATAGCTAGAGTCACTTGAGGTGGCTGTGGCTCTGAGCTGTTGCTAACTGTTAGTGTTTGCTTAAGTCTTTAAATGGGGAGGGGAAGAGAGTGGACGAAATTGTTTATACTGAGAGTTTGTGGTTTTCATAGGCCAAGGTTGAGGCCTGGCAGATACGAGGGCTCAGAGGAGCCTGGCTAGATTTTGGTTGAGAACCATGCTTTAGTTTATGTCCCCCAAACCATTCCTAATGGTTTCCCATTGGGAAACCAAGAAACAAATAGATTAAATAACTCCTACAAGGCTATAGAACCAGTCAGTAACAGAATTATTATTCAAAACAAGTTCTCTCTAACATTAGAGTCTATCCCAGAGGTAAGAGAAGGAGGTGGAAGACTGTAGAAGTCAAAATCTGTGAGAAGTGGAAGAAATGACATTCTATTAATGTGCCCTGACTGCAAAACTTGTTTTATCTGTTAGGTTCAGTGTAAATTCTAGAGCAATTTTTAGCATAGGGATACATTTGACTTTAACATGCTATTTTCTTACTTGGTGACTTCAGTTTGGTAAAGATTTTTGCCTACAATCTTTCTTTTAAATGCTTTCAATCTTTATTTTACTTAATCTTTTCAGGACTTAATTAGGTTGCAAAGTTTCTTTTAAAAATCATTTATCTCATATCTATATCAGACTATAACAACTTAAACTTAAAAACTTTAAAAGTCTAACATTAGATATACATTTTTTATCTAAAGAGAAACCTAAAATGATAAGGACTTCAATAGGAAACAGTTTGCATGAAATTCCATGGAAGAGCTAAAACCATTAACATTGAGAGACATTTAATAATTCTTCTTCAAATGGTTTTTAATCCTTGGTGTTTAATTTAGTTTTTCCACATAGCTGAAGGTGTCTGACCCTGATGCTTTAATAACTTCTACATTTTGAGTTGGTACTTTGCCCTATCAAAATACATATTAATTACTTGTTAGCTTCATTGAAGTTTTGCTCTTTTGGTTAATATTTCCATTGTAGTTTTTAATTAGAGGAAACTAAAAGATAAACTGAAGAACTTAACCTAAATCCACTACAATGGTAGAAAAAAAAGCTGTGGCTCATGAATGGTCCGTTTATTGAGAGAAATATTTCCTGAGCCTATATTACTTTGCTGGAAAAAATACGTCATTTTTAAAAGTTACAATCTCCCTTTTAAGCAAAAAAAGGTTAATCTATAATAGCATCAACATAACCATGTATAATTCATGTAGTCAATAACTATTTTCTCAGGGCCTGCTTTCAGGCTGGGTTTACAGAGATTAAAAAGCCATTGGCCCTGTTCACAAAGAATTACAGTGTTTTGGTTTTGTAGTTGCCTTTTGAATTTTTGTATTATTAGTGTTATTTGAGACTCCCTAGCCTTGCCATCTGTGGACACGAATGGTAATTATCGTAATAGCAAATTTCATAATTTCACTAGTCTTGCTCCTAGTTGATGACAGAAGATTCTCAGTCATTTGTAAAATCCTCTACCAAATATTTCTGGGGAGTCCCAGAGATATCTGGTACATGTTGGCAAAAAGGTCCATTACTCTGCCGATCATTTCCCTTGGGAGCCGTTGCTGATCTGCTCCCTGGGGTCTGTGCTGTCTGTGAGCTGCATGGCTGTTTGTATCAAAGCAGTGGGGAATACCTTCCCCCTTTTTGTTTCCCTCTGCTAAGTTCAGAGGGTTTCATTTAGTCAGTTTGTCAGAGAAGACATCCTAAAAGACTCCCACAAACAAGAGTGCTAGCTAGTATAGAAATAAAAACACAATTTTTAAAATGAATGAATGAGTTTGTAAGAAAGTAAAAGATATCTGAGTCCTAGCAACAGGTGTGGGAATCCACGGAAGAAGGGAGAACTGACGCTTTAGGGATCTTTATGGATCTGGATGTCCAGAGCTTTGATTGCAGGGCAAAAATAGTGGAAGTGGGATGGGGAGGCTTGGGCTCGTGTAATGGGAGTGAGATCTCTGGTCACTCTAAATAAAGTTAGCACCCATGAAGAGCTACAATTTTTTTCAATCCCATAAAAATGAGGCAGAGAGCAAATAAATTTGTCTTTTCAGCCTGGAATCTGAGTGGATATAAAAGTCTCCTTTAAGAATTTGTTGCCACAGCCTGACACTCTTGTAAGTTTGAAGCCTGAATTTACACTATTTGTATCATGTGAAACAAACAAACTTTAATTTAAATTGGACCCAAGTCTTCCGGGTGCTTTGCAGAAATGAAGGCAAGTCTTTTCAGGGTGAAGGCACCCTCCATCTGAGGCCTCAAAGAATCCTCAGAACTCAAATTCCAGAGCATCTGAGCAAACAATAAGACACACACACACACACACACACACACACACGCACATATACACACACCCCATAAAGAAAGAAGCCACCATGAGCAAGAGTCAGCAGAAAAAAAATAGATACTCGAAGGCTTCAGGTATTAGAAATATCAGGTAGAGAATATTAATTATGTTTGATGTGTTCCTAAAAGTAGGACTTAACAGAGAGAAAAAGAAAGTAACAAAATGACCGGCAGCCTTGAGTTTTAAAGAAATAACTTCTAGAAATAAAAAATATAATAATTGATGTTAAAAAACTTGATGGAAAGATTAAGCAGAGAAAGCTTAAAAGTGAGTGTGTGCATTGGAACTGAGATCAGAAGAAATTACACTGATACAAAACAGAAAGACAATGAGGTATAAAGTGTGAGGGAGGCTGAGATGTACAGAGGATACAATGTCCCATTATCTGTCTAAAGCGAATGGTGTACAGGTGACGTGTGAATAGGTAAAAACTGAGAATTTTCTCTTTTCTTTTCTTTTCTTTCTTTCTTTTTTTTTTTTTTTTAGAGCTGTGGTCTTTGTCAGCCAGGCTGGAGTGTAGTGACATGATCATAGCTCATGGCAGCCTCAACCTCCTGGGCTCAAGCGATCCTCTCATGTCAGCCTCCCAAGTAGCTGGGACTACAGGTGTGAGCCACCACATCTGGCAAATTTCTGGCTAATTAAAACAATTTTTTAAGAGACAGAGTCTAGCTATGTTGCCCAGGTTAGGACAGAACTTTCCATAAGTGATTCAAACAAATGAAGGGAGTGGGGGAAAGTTATACTCTAAACTTCTGAAATTACTCTTTATAAGAAAAGGGGAGGTTGGAAGAGAGGAGTGTGTGTATGGGAGGGGTATACATGGATGGATATGTGAGTGTTGTATTAGCTTAATGATTATTGCATCACCTTATTCCAATGGGAGAAATTTCTCTTTATCGTGGTTTATATTTGTTTATTTATTCTGTCCTTCCCTGTCTCAAATTGACAGTTTTCTTAATGTCCTTTATTCTATTTTATGTTTTAGAAGATATATGTTGTAATTCTTTCTATCCCTTGTTTGTACTTTTTAAAATTGTAAATTTACCTTTTTCCCCCAATATGTTGTTATGAAAGTTTTCACATATAGCATAGTTGAAAGAATTTTACCATGAACACCCATGTACCCACCAATGAGATATCATTAGTATTTTACTATACTTGCTTTATCACATCTTTCCATTTGTTTATTTATCTTCCACCTATCCATCATCTATTTTCTGATGCACTTCTGATGCACTTCAAAGTATATTACAGATAGTTTACCTTTGCTTTTAAACCAAATAAAATTAAAAAGCTATTTTTACTTTTAAGTCAATAATTGATCAATTTACCAATGTATTTTTTTCTTTTTATGAGATGGAGTTTCGCTCTTGTCACCAAGGTTGGAGTGCAGTGGTGCAATCTCGGCTCAATGCAACCTCCACCTCCTGGGTTCAAGCAATTCTCCTGTCTTAGCTTCCCAAGTAGCTGGGATTACATGCACCCGCCAACACACCTGGCTAATTTTTGTATTTTTAGTAGGGATGGGGTTTCGCCATGTTGGGCAGGCTGGTCTTGAACTCCTGACTTCAGGTGATCTGCCCGCCTTGGCCTCCCAAAGTGCTGGGATTACAGCTGGGATTACATGAGCCACCATGCCCAGCCTACCAATGTATTTTTACCAATGTATTAGCCCACTTCTTGCACTTACTTGCTGCTGATTTTTGCATTTGTTACTGTATGTGCTCTGGTAGGGCATATTTCCCAGTTTGATATTCTGTATAATTTGTAAGTGAGAAAAATGGGGGGAGAAAATGGTCTGTTTGAATTGCATTGCTAATGAGTGTAAATGAGATTTCAGTCAGGGGCTGGAGATTCTTTCTTTGCTAAAACCATGCATGAGCTTTATATCTATTTTGGCTGCCAAGATATATTATAAAAGTCTTAGAATATTTGTGAAAGGATTGATTGGGATTCTGCAGGCTTTCTAGAGGAAATAAAATTTCTTGAATTGCTCTCAGTGTTATTTTATATTATGATTAAAATTTATATTCTTCATAAAGAGCTAGTGCACCATCCAATCAAATACAAATGTATGACACCTATAACAGGTAGTGTTTAAATGCCCAAATTCAATTTTATTATGCAATTTCAACTTTAAAATAGAAACAACTTCATATGATGATCTAATCTCTTTTGTCTCTAATATTGAAAAACATAAAAGGGTTAAATGCTGAATCATTAATGGCTTTTAGCTTAATGGACTTTTTAACTGATAGGAGCTAAAAGGCTGAGCTCCTACTGAATGAATCTGTGAGCTAATGACAGCTATACATTGACGAGTTAAGAGAAGAGAAATGATTCCTTTTTTTTTTTTTTTTTCTTTGAGACAGAGTCTTGCTCTGTCAGCCAGGCTGGAGTGCAGTGGCATGATCTTGGCTCACTGCAACCTCTGTCTCCCAGGCTCAAGCAATTCTCCTGCCTCAGCCTCCCGAATAGCTGGGATTGCAGACATGTGCCACCACGTCTGGCTAATTTTGTTTTTTTTTTTTCAGTAGAGATGGGGTTTCACCATGTTGGCCAGGCTGGTCTCGAACTCCTGACCTCAGGTAATCTGCCTGCCTCGGTCTGCCAAAGTGCTGGGATTACAAGCGTGAGCCACCATGCCTGGCCAAAAAATGATTCCTTCATGTGAGATGATGTTAAGTAATTTTTGTCTAATTCTAAGATAGAATGTCTGTGGTCATCAGCAAAGTGAATGAGGATTATATTCAGTTCAGTTGAAGCACACTTGATATGCTATGAGGCTAGGAAGAAATAGGAAAATTTTTCTAAATTTTTTTCCTTTTCATCAAAGGCTTATATCATCATCAGATCACTACTCTTTAAATCATAGTACCTTCTCTGTTAGACAAAAACTATTTCATTTGTGGCTTTACCATTACCAGCATGTGACCTTGGTTGGGTCACAATGATTTAGAGCCTCAGTTTACTAAAGTACATCTATATCTACTTGTAGATACAGATATTAACACTTTCCTTACAGCATTGTAGAGAAGAGTAGAGGTAAGGTATAATAAAGTACCTGGTACAGTGCTTGAAGCAGGGTAGGTACACAAAACATAGTGATGATGATAATGATGATGATGCGTATTTTGAAACTGTCTCAGATTTTATTGATCTTATTTCCTTAAGCAGTTTACAGTTACCATTTACGTTGGTTATTTGGAAAACATAATTTTTCTTTTCAGAATGATTTATTCATAAAAAAGAAACTAAGAGAGAGAGAAAAGAGGCTGGGTGCAGTGGCTCACACCTGCAATATCAGCACTTTGGGAGGCTGAGAGGTGTGAGGCTCACTTGAGGCCAGGAGTTCAAGACCAGTCTGGGCAACATAGCAAGATTCTTTCTCTCCAAACATTTAAAAGAAAAAAAAAAAGACTTATTCATGATTTCAAATATTTTTGAACCAGAGATGGACTTTCTCAACTAAATTAAGGAGTTGATTAGATGATCATAATAGTATTTGTCAACCAAACTCTTACATATAATGTATTTAATTTTGACAGGTTGACAGGTTGATAATACCCCAGTTCCACATGTCAGTACTCCTGGTCATCCATAACTGTTTATTTTCACTTTCAACCATCTAAGTGCTCCATCTGTGTTTTTTAATAATCCTTTTCCATGCAGTTATCGGTGACATGTGGTAGTTTAAAGAAAAAGCACAGGATCAAGACCTGAGGATCTTGTTTGAATTTTAGCTCTGTTATGATCTTGGATTTCTCTAAGCTTTGATATTCTTATTTGTGAAATAGAGATCGACTCTGTTTTCTGAGTCTGTCAGTCTCGGCAGCGGCTGTGAGGACGGAAGAGCTCAGTAAGCCATGAACACTATCAATTATTAACTAAGAACACCGACCTGTCAATTCAGAAGCAACATTGCAGAGATCCATACATGACATACAGATTCTAAATTCGGTAAATCTTTAGCTGGGTGTGGTGACACATGCATGTAGTCCCAGCTATTTGGGAGGCTGAGGCAGGAGGATCACTTGCATCCAGGAAGTCAAGGCTAGAGTGAGCTGTGTTTGCACCACTGCACTCCAGCCTGGGTGACACAGCATGAGCATGCCTTAAATAAATACATAAATAAATGAGGTAAATCTTCAAAATCCACTAGTAGAAACACCAAGAGAGGAGTGGTTTTGATGCCTAGAAACTCAAACTAGTTGAAGCATAAAAGAGAATGAATTAGATCACTTACTTGGGAAGATGGAATCATACAGGTATCTCTTGTTTCAGGCGTGCTTGTATCAGATGAAGTCTCTACCTCTTTCTCTTCTCTGTTTTTTTCAATGTATTGGTTTCATTCTCTCACTGTGCAGACAGGCTTTCTCTCTGTAGTGAATAAGATGGATGCTAATAACCCCAATATTCTTTAAATCTGTGACCCAAAAAGGCAAGGAGCCTTTTCCTCCATTTCCATCTTTAAAAAAAAAAAAAAAAAATCCCAAAGTAACAAGAATGGAGTTCTTTGGGTCAACGGGGCAGAGTTTGGAGATTGGCGGTCCCACTAGGAATTATCTGACTTGAGTGAACAAAGAGCAGTTAGAACAGTCTCCAAAGGAAGCAGAGGGCCTGGGCAGACAAAAATGACCAATGTCACTACAAGCATGAGGGAGGAAAGGAGAAGAGAATAATGACAAACAGAAGAGTCTTGCTATCCTTACGAAATGCTCACCACGTCTTCATTCAATTACCCACTCTCCTGTTTAGGATTAGTGTGGAAATCTCTCAGTTTGCCCACGACAGTCCTGTTTCATGCCTTGTCCTAGCATAACTATTAAAATCATGGCTTTTTATTTTCAAAAGTATCCCAGTTTGGACAATTTGCTATCCAGTCACTGTAAATAAGACCAAGTAGCAATTTGTCTTCAGCCACTCAATCTGTTTTAAGTCATCCTATTCCTTTGATTCAGTTGAACTTGATCAGTTCTTTGCCTTTTCTTTTCCAAACTGTATCTGATATTAAACATTTGGAGTTCTCGTGACATACACATTCTTGCCACCTTCTTCCCTTTTATTGGTCACCTCACATTTCTCCCCTTCCAGGAACTCTTCTGGATTTTAACTAGTGGTGCTGAAGGTTTAACAACCCACTCATCTGCTCAGAGCATCTCTGCTAGTAGAATTTTTCTTTCAGGGATTGCTGCAAGTTAAATGTATACTCCCTCTCCAAATGGCATAGATTCATCCTGTGAAACTTCAGTTGTTGTTTCTTCAGAGTAGAAGCTCTCTGCCAGGCATGACTTTATGTTTTCTGTCCTATTGCACACGCTATGGTAAGTGGGGTATGGATGACGATGGATAAAACAATTAACATAGTATGAGGCTGGGCATGGTGATGTGTGCCTGTAATCCTTGCACTTTGGGAGGCCGAGGCAGATCACTTGAGCCCAGGAGTCTGAAACCCCCCATCTCTACAAAAAATAATAAAGTTAGCCCAGCATGGTGGCAAGCATCTGTGGTCCCAGCAACTCAGGAGGCTGAGGTGGGAGGATTGCTTGAGCCCAGGAAGTGGAGGTTTCAGTGAGCTCTCTTTGTGCCATTGCATTCCAGTCTCGGTGAAAGAGTGAGACCCTGTTTCAAAAACAAAACCAAACAAACAAAAATAGTGTGATGATGGTAAAAGACATAAATTCTTTATAGCGTATTTGCAGTGGTCCCCTTTGCACACCAGCTAAGAAGGAAGCATCCTTTGCCAGTTTGACCAGCTACCTCCTGGCCGTGATTGTACAGATTGAGTGAAAGTGGTGAAGAGAGTGATGAAACAGAAAGCAACCCCAATATCTACCTGAGAAAGGATGAGATAGGGAAGAGGAGTAAAGAGCCAAGGAAACTTGGTGTGGAGAAATAGGTAGGGGTTGTACTGACATACTGGAGGACTCCCGCAACCAGCCCTCACATCACGTGCATGGTGTTCCTACCTCTTCATGTTCTACCGCATGCAATGTGGGCAGGGCTCCCTGGAGGTGTATAAGTTGTCAGCCTTGAGGGGTGGGGAGAAGACATGTCTGGTGTTCACAATGAGGGGTTTGATTGAAAGGCACAGCTGCTGTGCAGAGAAATACTATGGGGAGACAATGTGTAAAAGAGGTTTTCTGGGAAGTCTGTCATTTATTCGACAAATAATATATATTTTGTCCTCTGCTCTATGCCAGGCACTGTTATAAATTCTGGGGATATAGCAGGGATGGACATAGCATTTGTATGTATATACATAGAGCACCTGGCATGGCTTACCTTTTAGTGAATGGAGACAGATAATAAGCAAATACATTGTATAGCAGTTTAAATGATGAGAAGTGTAATGGAAAAAATAATTGAGCAGCTCTGGAAAGCTGGAGTTGGAGAAAGGTCATTGCAAAATTTAAAAATGAGCAGTCAAGGTAGGCTTCAGAGAGAAGATGACATTTTTGCAAAAACTTGAAGGAGATAAGGCAGGAACCGGGTAAACATCTGGTAGAAAGCCTTCCAAGTGGAGAGGACAGGCTTTGCAGAACTCCTAAAGTTGATACGTGTCTGGTGTGTTCAGAATTAGAGCCAGTGTGGTTGAAGGTAGTAGGGGGAGCAGGAAATGAGCTATGAGATTTAGGGGAGCAGGCAGATGATGTAGGGCTTTGAGGTCATTAAACTTTGAGAGAAATGGGAGCTGGTTAGAGGCTTCCCAGCAGAGGCTTTTAATTGCATCACGGCCTAATGCATCTTGATGGATATTATGAAATATAATTATCTCAAGGGATATTCAATATTTGTTTCTTTTGATGTAAAACAGTGTAATACTTTGTACAGTATATATTCATTAATGTTACAATAGGCTCTGCTTATAACTGTCCACAAAGAGGTATTTGTGGAATGAATGAATGAATGAACAAATGGGGTTGACCTTTTCGCTCCCTCCATGCAGGTTCTCAACCTATTATTTAAACTTTATTGCCCCTACACCCTTTCTCAACTTGGGTTCTATTCACCTGTCTTGTTGAGTACTAATTAGGAAAAGAAAAAAAAAAAAAAAAAGGCAGGCTAGTGGGGGCAGGAAAAAACAAAGAGATAAGGCAAGTAAGCATAAGCTATACATCTGCCTTTCTTCATGGTCCAAAACATATAAACAAAAGGAAGAAACAAATAAGCCATAGGTCTACTTTTCTTTATGGCCCAAGACATATGGCTCTTCTAACCAGATAACGTACTTAACTCACAAACTTCCTGCTTACCTTCAAACGCCTCTATTTATCAAACACTTCGGTTGACAAAAAAAAAAAAAAAAAAAAAAAAGGAAAAAAAAGCAAGTTAACTCCCTGCTAACTTGGTGTTATCAATCACTCCAAGTTCCAGTCTATAAAATTCTCAACAAGCCTTTGTTTCCTAGCAATGAGCTCCTCCTCTGCTGATTCTGCGCGCTGTTCCCTGGCAACGATCTTTCATACTTTCTTTAATCTGTCTTTTTTTATCTACTACTGTCTTGGTAAATTCTTTTACTCCCACACCCAGAAAGTCGTCGCTCACTCGCGACACGTTGAAAGAGTTCTTTCAACTCTGTACTTTTGCCTCTGTCTCTGCTCATCCCATTTCCCCCTACTTGAAATGCTTCTCCAGTGGATTAACATTCTGCCAGTTGTTAAAGACCTAGGGACAAGCTCCACGTCCTCCAGGAAATCCCTGCAGACTCTGGCCTTCGTTGCCTTTTCTGAGCGCCCGTAGCATCCTTCCTCTGTTACCTTTCATTGGCTTGATCCCCTGCATTGGATAACTTTGGTGGCTTATTTTAAAACCACTGTTTGAACTCTCTCTACGTGCTAGGCAAAGAATACACAAATGAACATTAGCATTTCAGTGGGGTACCTTTACCGTTTCTGTTTTATAGAAACTGACTTGATAAGACAGGCTCAGTGACTTGGCTGATCTCACGTAGATTAATTAACAAGGAACGCACCAGGACCGGGACACAAGTCGTTCCCAAGACAAGCAATAGTCCTTGTCCTTCCTACTCATAAAAGGGTTAACCTAGCATTTCCTTGCCGCGGTCAGGGTCAGTTCACTCCACTCCCTTCCCCGTGAATCAAAAGCGGCCGCGGCTAGGGAAGCTTGTCCTGTGAGGGATTCCGTAGAGGCGCTCCTCCACTGCTTGAGTCCCGGGCGAACATGGCGGCCCCCGAGTCAGGGCCGGCTTTGAGTCCAAGCGCTGCAGAGGGTGAGGAGGAGACGATTCTCTATGACTTGTTGGTCAACACCGAGTGGCCACCGGAGACTGAAGTACAGGTGAACCAGGCCCGTCTACAGCAGCAGCCAACTTGACGCGGGCGCTTCGTGGGCAGAGCCACGTAGCAGGAGCCACGTAGGGGAGTGAAGCCGGGTGGGCGGGGGGTCTGATGGCTTGTGTGGTCGCCCTGGCAACGGCACCTTGGGCTACCGGGGGTCTGGGGCTCCTAAGGCGGGGTGGGGTCGTGGTCCCTGAGATTCCTCCTGGGCTCAGAATTCGGTTTTTGGGGGCTGGAACTTCGTGTTCTGCGGAGCGTAGGATCCCGCTCTGGTTGTTAGTTTCTCTCTGTTTTCGGAGGGGTGCAGATTGTTAGTTTCACTCTCTGTATTCGGAGGGGAAGGCACAGCGCTGGACTAAAGGGTCCTTTCTCCTACCTGGACTCTCGGTGGTCCCTTCTCGCAGTCTGGCTAGGGCTAGTACGGGCGGACGCTTAACGGTGTGAGAATTTTCCAGGACCTTACAGTCTTCAGCATCTGGCAGGCTGCTGCAGAGTGCGGAATCTGAGCCTTTACAGCTACCTGGGGCTGGATCGCGCCAGTTCTTGTGTGTAACAATAAAAGAGCATTTAATAAGGGTGTGCGTGTCCGTTCGTCCGTCTCGGTGTCCCAGATGCTGTGCTAGGTGCTGAGGATACAGAGATAAATATGCTTTCGTGGAGCTTCTCCTCTAGAGGGGAGACAATCCTGTAAACGTTATTCATAATCTAGCGTTTTATGCGCTATAGTTAGCGATGTGAGCAAAATGCCACGGAAGTGAAGGGTAAAGAACTGCTGACTGGGATTGGGATCTCCGCTAGAGAAGGATTATAGAGGTTGATAATTTATAGACTGGATCTTGGGATTATCAGTTATTTGGTAGTGAGGGCCTCCCGGGTCTGTGGTGAAGAGTAGGAACCACGGATCCATGTTTATTTAATAGATATTTATTGAGTGCTTAACACATGCCAGTTACTGTTTTGGACCCAGAGGAAGCAGCCAGATCGAAAAGAACCTTTATTAAAGATTATGTAGTCCAGCCCATATGAGTTATCTTACATTTTTTTATGAGTGTTTCTTTGCTGGAGAAACGACTCATTTTTCAGCCTAAAGTTTGTATTTTTTTCCCCTGTAGCCTCCTTCCCACTGCAGTTTGTGCTTATTTTGAATAATGTATTTTGTAGAATGGGTAGAGATCTGCATGTTTTGCCATTTAATTTCAAGTGCTTAATTTGTCTTAATGTGAATATTTTTTGGGTTATGCAGCTAGGAAGCTGTTGCTGCGGCAGCTGGTTAGATAAGTTTCCACTCCTTAACACTCATTGGTTAATTGCAGTAATGTTTCCGAATGCTTAGCATAAATTGATTCCAAAAAAGTAACCACAGAATTAACTTACTTTGAAACCCTTAGCACTTTGTTTTGTGTTTATGTGTTGGGGGTGGGGGAATTCTATTGATTTCTGCATTCTATCGATTTCTGCATTCTATTGATTTCAGCTGTTGAACTATAAGCTCTTGGAGGGCAGCTACATCTGATTCATCTTTATATCTCTCCCCAGGGCCAAATTGTGCGTTGCATGAATCCCACCATCAATTCTTGTTTGTTGAGTGAAATAACTTTTCTGTTTTTTAAAAAATCTGTCTACACTTACTGTGTGTCCATTGTGCTTTTCTTGACAGCACTGTAGTGCACCTTATGCAGTGCCTAGTGTCATGAACCTACCCACAGTGTGTTCAGTCTATACTTATGGAATGGAATTATTTAATATAGCAATTACATATTGCTGTATGTTTTGTTAGTAGCATTGTCTGGATGGATATACAACAGATAGTCAATGAATTTGCCTTGGAGATATGACCACTTTTCCTGTGAGCAAAACTTACAGCTTCAATAGAGTGTGCTGAATTGGCAACCAGTGTGGTCTTTGGCCTTGACTTCTCTTGTCTTTGGATTGGTATTTGATTTGGAAACAGTTTCTAGCTTCAATCTTTGTTCTTACCTGCAAGGTTAGTCCTGACATGTGCCTGTAGCTCTGCTATGCTCCCTTTACTCCTATTGTCCCCCATCTTGAGTCTACCTTTTTCTTTTTTTTTGAGACAGGGTCTCACTCTGTCACCCAGGCTGGAGTGCAGTGGCATGATCAGGGCTCACTGTAGCTTCAACCTCCCAGGTCACCTCAGCTTCCCAAGTAGCTGGGACTATAGGCACGCACCGTCATGCCTGGCTAATTTTTGTATTTTTTGTAGAGACGAGGTTTTGCCATGTTGCTCAAGCTGGTCTGGAGTTCCTGGGCTCAAGCAGTTGGCCCACTTTGGCGTCCCAAAGTGCTGGGATTACAAGCGTGAGCCACTGCACCTGCACATTCAGTCTTTAAGTAGTTTTAAGACACTGCTTCCCTGTGCCCAAAACTCTGGATATTAGTAAATAAAAATAAGTTTACATTGTATAAGCAATACTAGTCTAATACTAGAGGATTCAAATGTAAGGGCTTTGTTTTAAATTCCAGCCTAGAGGCAACCGAAAGCATGGTGCATCCTTTATCATCACGAAAGCAATTCGAGGTAAATATAGCTTATTTCTCTACAGTAATGATATGGTTAACAGTTAAAATGTGTTCTTTAGACTTCTGGTGTGGAGACTAATAAAAGTGACGTGTTATCTGAGTTTAATTATATATATATATATATAGACACATGTATGTATATGTATACATTTGTATATTTACACATGCACATTTTTAATGCAGCTTAAAGTATATAGCCTTGGTTTAACCATTATGGGTGTATTCTAGAACAGGTGTCCCCAGTTCCTGGGCCGTGGACTGGTACCAGTCTGTGGTCTGTTAGGAACCAGGCTGCACAGCAGGAGGTGAGCGATAGGTGAGTGAGCATTACCACCTGAGCTCCACTTCCTGTCAGATAAGCGGCAGCATTAGATTATCACGGAAGTGCGAACCCTATTGTGCACTGCACATGTGAGGGATCTAGGGTGCGTGGAAAAATTGTCTTCCACAAAACCAGTCCCTGGTGCCAAAAAGGTTGGGGACCGCTGTTCTAGAAGGAATGAAGGTCAAAGCCAGTATGAGTCTCAGAAAGTCTGTGGATGTTGAAGGTGAAAATGCCCTGAGAGACTATTTTAAGGGGTTTATGTGATGTTTCCGATACATCTGGTCAGAGATACTCAAATTACACATTTGGTAAGCCAGGGTATTCATTTAACTCCTGACAGATTTTACGTATGAACTAACAAGAGTCTGAGAAAGGATTGAGCACTAGGTTTACTGAGCTGGTGCCACGACAGGTTTACCATATTAATTGATAGAGTCCTTTTATCAGACCAGAAAGGGTCGGTGCTGTACTCCTTTACGTTTTTAGATAAGAAAACTTGCCCAAGGTCATTCATTTGGAATTTGACTGCACGTCTTCTGGCTCCAAAGTCCATCCTTTTATACCAGTGAATTTAAGTTCGTTATAAAGAGAAAATTCATTTTCACAGAAGTACTTGAAATTAACTATAATCTTCTGATTATACTTTTATCTTCTGATAAAATTATAGTTAATTATAGTTAATTTTATCTTCTGATACAAGAAACACTAGCATATTCAGTTTTCATAATGACAAATGCTTTAAATTTTAAGAATTTAGAAAATGCGTACAAATAATAAAAATTCATTGTAGAAATACAGACACTATAGATAACTACAAATTAGAAAAAAATTTGTCCTCGTCTTACCACCTAGAGAGAATCTGTTATTCTTTAGATCTTTTTCCATCGATGTATACCTAACTGCATACACAGGTACACACATACGTGTACATTTAAAATAGGATGATAGAAAGCATTGTCTTTTCATAGCATGTTAGAGGTTTTGTTTTCCATGGGCTTTCCCATTTGAGGTATTATTATTTTTAAAATCTTTGCTATGAAGTGTAAAATAGTATCTTGTTTTAATTTTTATACAAATATTTTGTTTTTTAAGGGGTGATTATTATAACTTCTAGTCCATGGTTTCATGAAAGCTTCTTAGATTAAATTTAACATCTCAAACCACTTTTATTTCTTGAACAGTTAGGAAATACCTGAAACTTTTGAATAACACAGAAACTTGGAATTTAATAAATATATGACCCTGTAAATGTTATAATGTATATTAGGTTATATTTAGTCTCTCATTTTAAGAGTTGTGTTATTTTTTTTAATGACTCACTCTGTAGTATATTTTAGATTTGTCATCTATAAATCTAATTTGAAAATGATTCTTGAAGAACAACTGATTTATAATTGGCTTTGCCATTTCTTTTAATTACAGATCGTTTATTATTTTTACGCCAATACATCTGGTACAGGTGAGTTTTGGTTCTTCAGATAAACAGTGTGAACATCAAATATAAACAATATTATTCTATATGTGATTTGTTTTCATAAATGAATTCTAGATCATGAGAAAGTTGCTGACATTCAGGCAAACTCAGCATGAGACATTTCAAACATTTAAGTATAATCCGACAAGATATCTCAGTAGACTTAGGGTAGTTTTTGTTCCCTTAGTTGCTATTAAGAATGTGCTCATGACAATTTCTGCTTCCTCTGATGACTGTTCT